AGGAGGAACCAGTCGCTGGAGCTTGCACCGGCGCGTGAGAGAGCGTGAGAGGTCCGATTTCCGATCGGTCAACACCGTTGACTTCGCCGTGACGTCAGCTTTCTGGATTGGTCAAGTTTGTTCGATTCCGAGAAGATTTGATTTGCGGTCAACTGTCCGGGCCAGCCAGATCTACATAAATTTTAAGCAGTAAGTTTTCTTCATCAAACCTTTAGATCCGCTGCGCATAGGTTTATGTTGAATGTTTGTCTGTGATTTGTGCATATCGAGATCCTCGTGGGTTCCAACATGAGGTACCTTGGCCCCCTTTTATAGGGGGAGTGTACCTTTTGGGCCCAAGTTGGGCTTGACCCCTATCGTTGGGCTTAAATGTCTTAGTGGGCTTATCCTTCAATGTATATCCACTTTATCCATTAAACCGGGTCCAGTATAATATCCTATATCACCACTTATTAAAAAAATATAATAATGTTCAAGCTCAATCTTAGATAAAATGTTTGAAAGTGAGTTAAGTTAAGGTATATAGATAAATATGGTTTATTGTGAAATTGATTGACAATAGAAGAAAGCCACTTATTGAAAAAAATATAATAATCACTAGTAGAAAAAACGTTTTTTATAACGGGTAAAAATGACTTTTTATAACGGTTTTGAGTTCGTTATAGTTTCAGGTGTTATAGAAAGTATGAACTTTCTATGACGGTTGTTGAACCGTTATAAATTGGCTGACATTAATAACGGGTAACATAGACCCGTTATAAATATTTAGTTTACCTGTTATAGACTACTCTATTTTATATCAGTTCCTCATTCACCCGTTATAAAATATACAGAATTTATAACGTACTTTTATTTACCTGTTATAAACTTCTTTTGTTTACACTATAATTTATAACGGTTTACTAAATACCCGTTATAAAAACAATGAATTTGATAACGGTTAAATAATGACCCGTTATAATTTTGAACCCACATTAAAATGAACAATTTTTTATATCGTAGATAACACCTGTTATAAAAAAGGGTGCAACATTCTATTTTTTTAAAACACAAAACCACCATATT